GGGCGCGGCGGGCGGAGCGGCAGCTGCTCGGCTGCCCGCGGGGACTTGGCTTCCTCCCGCGGCCTCGCACCCATGGCAGCTCGGGGGTGTGAACTTCTGACTGGTTTGCGAAGGCAATATTGGCCTTCCCGAGGCGGAGCTTATACCATCTCAGGGCAGAGAGGGTAGTGTTGGCTGGTTTACTTTGGTTTTGAAGGAAGTTGGTTTATACTTTGGCTTTTTAAAACTTTCAGGTTCAGTTTCAGCTTGGTTATCGTTTCTTCACTGCTGAAACAAATGCAGCACTCAATAAAAATGTAGTTGCTCACAGTCCTGATGAAGCTGTGGGTTGCACGCTCTTCTACAGCTACCATGAGGCAAAGTTATGTACATGTATGGGAAGTCATCTGAAAAATACAATGTGGGTGCTCACCGTGTGGTCTGTGTTGTAAATAATATAATTTCCTTGTTCATTTCAAGTGCAGCTATTAAAGTGGAGAAAATAATGTTTGAATAATTCACTGATAATACTGTTATTGGAAAGATGACAAACAAGGCTAGTCTGAGAACTTTCTGGTTAATGTAGATGTCTTCACTCTTTACGCTCACTACCAATTTCATACTAGTGATTTGATTTCAGTTATTTTAAGCCAATCCAAAGTAGTATTGAGTATTGGAAAGCTCACTTGACTTTGAGTGGAACAGGTGAATTGCATCTAAAGTAATAAATGGGTTTTCAGTAACTCTAAATCTTACTGCAGCTACATTTGCCATGATTTTCTATAGTATTGATTTCTGTCTTTAAGATGCGCTTCTACAGATCACTTTCTGCTGTTTTCACTACAGCTGTTACATTCTTGTTACGTTTACTAATGTTTGTATCATTTTTGTTCATGTGAGTGCTTTTAAATGCTAACAGTATAAAAACAGGTTATAAATACAAGTGGCTTTTAATAATCTTTAAACGTAATTGTCACGATAAATAAAGATGTCCAAACTAGTGCTTTTAAAACCCTTATTTCATCAGAAGCTTATTGCTCTTTTGTGCAATGAGTTAAATTTTTTCTGTCTTTTATCAGGTTTTTAGTTCGTTGCTTGTCTAGTAACTATAATAGTGTTCCATGGACTTGTGTCTTTGCAGGTTGTTGATTATCTGTGCCTGCCTAATGGACTTTCATGACTAGCCTTAGCTTTTGCTGGGTAGTTGCCTTTTAAAGTGATATCCTGATATAGTCTAATGATATTTTTTGAAAGTTTTTAAGAACTTGTTCAGAATTTTGACGCTTTTTAGCCTAGAACAATGGTTTAAACACTTTCTTTGATTATATGCATATAACATTTTATTGGAGTTTTGGACCTCTCAGATGCATGGACTCCCTTTAAGGAGATGTGCGTATGAATGTGTATATATGTTTATATGTATTAAAAAATTAGGAAAATAAAGTCTATTGTCAATAGGTTTACCTTTCTTATACTGGCATCTGCACCTCAACTGGGGAATATTTGGTGAGAGTGGGGGAAGGATTCGCTGTTGGTTTTGGCTTTGAGAGCAACCACCAGCGGATTCCTGGAATGCATTTTCTGCGTTAATGTAGTTAAAAAAGCTGAAAACTTGGAAACTAGTTGTACTCTAAAAATGGATTTAGATGTTTCCTTTGGCAGTGGAGACCATTTGAGCAGTTCCTGCACACCTCCTGTAATCAAATCCATTCCCCCTTACTGCAACTTTGATTGTCCAGGCCACAGATTTTTTGACCTCTCAGTAGTGCCGGTAAAACTGTTAGTGGGCCAGGTTATTTTTAACCTGCCCTGGTTCATGTCATAGTTCCATGAAAAGTTGTACTAGCACAGCCGAGGGAGCAGTGCAGGAGCGGGGCGGGAACTCATTAGGCTGGCTTTGTTGCCAGGAAATAAGTCGGTGAAAGCTTGGCTTCAAATCATGGCACTGAAATACAAAAAAATAGATTAAAAGATTTTAAATAATCTTGATACTTGCCTTTTAAAAGCTGCCATATGTTTTGAGTCCCCTTTTGAGAATACCTTAGTATGTACCTCCTGATTCATAAAATGAAACGTCCATAAAAGGTGCCACCAGTTGGTGTAACTTTCTAAAAGTTGTTATCAAATTACTTTTAACTGTATAAAAAAAAAATCAGCTGCATTATAGTGTAGCTGAGGTTATCACATGTATTTTATTTAGAATTCTGCTAACATATAGATTGCTTGTGTCTATTTTGTGTTTTTAATCAGTTACACGTGCTCTCATTTGCATTCTCTGAGCACATTTTATAATTGATTTACTTTTTTCCCTGAGGTCAAATAAAACTTTTTTTTTTTAATTAAAGAAAAACAACTCATATTTATGTTGTCAGTTTAATGAAGAAAAGTCTCTGACAGTAGTCTTTCATTTTGCCTTGAAGTCTAATAAACTTTGCCTCTGTGTTAGTAAAGAAAAGGCATTCTAGAGAATGTCCTTCTACAGAGAGTCAGGCTTCTATTTCCAAGACCTGGCACATGGCCCTTGTTGTCTGTCAAATGGAAATTGGCTTCATATTCTTCCTCTTTTCCCACAATGAGAATCTAGTTTAGTGTCTTATTCGCTTCTTTCCTAGCACCATGTTTAACTTCAGCACCCTAAGCTGAGGGAGGGAGGAAGGAAGGAAGGAGTATGGCTTTGCTACTTTATATTATCCCCAAGGCTTAGCATGTAACACCAGCAGCCCCATCCTCATACACTTTAATGAAGGTAGGGGCACAATTCTGTCTGCTCCCCTGTGATAAGCTATTACAGACTAATTACTTCTACAGTCCATCACCAAATCTAGCAGCTCATTACTCCTGTCCTGAAATTGTCTTCTCTTATTAGATATTGGAGAGTTTCTCACTATGTCTGTGCTGAAGACTTCCATTTCAAACACTGTTGATGGATAATGAGGGGGGTATTCTTAGTTTTGCATAATTATACTTTCAAAAAAGCAACTTGACCCAATATTTAATACATATGTTGCTCTCGAAATATTTTTGGAAAGGAGAAAATCATGGGAAATTGTACAGAAATATGTGTTGAATAAACACCTTCTTCATCTTACAAGATAAATAATTTAGTTTAAGAAATATCAGTTTATCATTATGAATGTAATCGTGGTTTTGTCACCTTGTGTATAAGGCATGATAGTGTTTAATGACATAATCGTATACCTTAGTGCTTGTGTGTTGCCCTGGCTATTAGGTTTAGGGAGTTAAACTGTCAAAGAACTATCACTGCATAATAGTGGGAAGTCAAGCTTCCTGAACTAGTTTGCTTTGTCAGGCAAGTGTTGCATCAGCACAAGAATAAGAGAAGTATTGGTAATGTTTTTTGTTGGCAGTGGCCTGGTAATAAGACTACAAATATTCTTAGGTGGATTGTGGCCTTCATGAAAGAAACTTGCTCAGATATCCTTCACTTTTTGTCAAAGCAGTCCAGTGATAAATTGAATTTCATGTGCTTAACTGCTATGAATTTCAAGGAATTCCTGTATTGGCTGGAGCTACTATTGGGTTCCTCATCCAAAACTGTATTGTTTCCCCTCTGATTTAGCAAAAAATGGAGACATTAGATTTTGTGAAGCTCTGTGTCTTAGGCAAAGCACACACTGTTGTATTGGGATCCTGATCCTGGTTATTGCTGAGACAGCCCTGTGGTTTTATGAAATTACTGGTCTTAGTACAAATTAGATTACTGGTAATGTGTGTAAAGAAATATAAAAGTTTCTTATTTCCTGTGTTGTTCAGAAATACTTTCAAGATTATGTTACAAGATGTGAAAAGAAGGAGGAAAACTTCATTGGCCATCACCATTTATTTAAAAAACAAATAAAACTGGTTGTGATTAGAGATGCTGATTGTAATTTGGTTAATTCCAAAAGCTACATATTTTCATTACTATTTTCATACATGACTTTTTTTTTTCCGTACTGCAAGAGCAAGTCTCCAAGCATGAGGGACATCTATGCAAAAATTTTATCAAGTCCTAACTGATAATGAAAACACCATGCAATGTGTTGTGGGTATGGTTTTGGGTTGTTGTTGTGAGGTGTTTTGTTTGAGTGTTTTTTGTTGGTGGTTAGTTTTTTTGTTGTGTGGGTATTGGGGAATTTTTGTTTTGTTTTGTTTTTGTTGGATTTTAAAGAGAATGTGACTATGTGGGAAGCCCTGGCAAAATCTTACAAAAATGTGTGGGGCTGTGGTAGGTTGTGGGTTTGGGTGGGGTTTTATTTGGTTTGGGATTTTTTAGATGGAAAGAGAATAAAGCTGTAACTAGTGTTTCAGTAACTCAGTTGTGCCAGGTATATTACACACTTCATAGTAGGGTCTTCCCATTTCTTGTGAATCACTTACCTGGAATAGGAGTATTTTTTAAAAGGTATCTTCCACTGTCGTGTCAGAGGCTTCCTCTGATAGTTACTGGCGGATTATACAAAAATAGTTTAAATTATGTGGAGGATATCTTTGGTCTTTTATCATCTTTAATAGCAAAGATGAGAATTCAAATAATTATCAGAAAGATGATGTGGTGTCGATTTATGAAGATCTATATCAGATCAGGTTCAACCTGTATAGAACATGGCAGGGGAGGGCAGGGAAGGAATACTGTTCTATGGGAATTATCATCAAGTGCAGTAATCTTTACTGAATGGTGAAACATTTTTTTTCATTAAAGTATTGAATGTTTTGGTATGTGTGTTTTGTTTTTTATTGTCTAGTCTCAAGATGGCAGAATTATTTATGGAATGTGAAGAAGAGGAGCTAGAACCATGGCAAAAGAGGGTGAAAGAAGTGGAAGAGGATGATGATGATGATGAGCCAATCTTTGTTGGAGAAATATCAAGCTCAAAGCCAGCTAGTACATGTAAGATAACATTTTCCGTAATTTAAAACAGGTATTTCAAGGTGTAAAGCTTTAAACTTGCTTTAAACTTACTTTGAAAATATAGAATTTTTAACAGTAAGACTTAAGAAATTCTGCATCTTAAAGCTGTTCTGTACTTTGCTGTCATACTGAAAATGGGAATTATTAAGAAATTCTGTCCTGAAACCCAGGTTATGCACAGCTGTGTCTACCTCTAACATTAAATCTCTGAAGTCAAAACGACGACGTTTGAAGGTTTTAGCATGAACAATACGGTTAAAAAGCCAATATATACAGTGCTGAAACCATGCATGCAGTTGCTCATAATATAGTTGATATTTAGTTAGATGCTTGAAGTGTCTCCCCACTGAAGTAATGTGCATGAATTTAAGTCTTCATGTTACAGTCCCTCTTTTTTCTCCACCCCACATTTCGTGTGTTGGTGGACAGTCTGAATGGGTGGACATCATTCTGACAAAACCAAGGTAACTGTCTTAAGTGTCTATAATAAAAACACAATCAGGAAAAGTGATTAATGTAGAAGCCTCTCTGTTAAGTAAGAGATTTCTATTAATAAATTCACTCATCCCCTGTAAAATAAAGAGTTTTTTTCATCAAGTTCTGTAGTTTTCTCCTAATGCAGGCAGTGCAGGGAGTGAGGTTAGGTGGTTGTGATGACAGCAGATGTGTCAGGATTCCATGTTTGTCCTGTGCTTGGGATTTGGCAGGTGAGTAAAGGAGAACATCATTTTTGTTACTTAATTTTAGTAATGAAACTTCTTGATTTCTGTATGCGGCCATCTTGTCGATTGTTAAGAGGTACGGCCTAAGGTTTCTCTAGCTATCAAATACACAAGACTTTGCCTGGTGAGGTTTACTGCTTTCAGTTTCTGCCTCATCTCTGCTATGCTTGTACCCAAGATTTCCATAGTCATTTTCTGAAGGTGTATAGTTTGCAGTGAAGAATCTCAAGACAAAATGTTAAACTAGGCTCTCTGTCACGCTCTGCTGCATGGACTTTGGAGCTATTATTAGCTGTTCAGTCATTTTAGTTCACAATACTTTCATCTTGCATCTGAACTCTATTTTATTTTGTTACTCACTGGGATAGTAAGTCTAATACTTCTTACTAACTTAAAAAAGTGGAAAATTATGTTTTAAATATTGAAGAAATACTGAAGCTGATGTTAAAATTCTCTCACCTGAAAATAGTTCTTAAGGGTTAATCTTTTTTAATATTTTTAAAATATTCTAGAGCCTCTTGAAAATTTGAAGAATATTTTAAAATTACTCTAAGAAGTTTTCTGCAGTTACAAACTTCTAGAAGGACTGAAAAATACCCCTACTGTCTTCTGGAAGGTCCAGAGACCACTGGATTGCTCTTGGTCTTTGGCAGTAGGTCATGGCGTAGAACAACTATTAAGGCACTAGGCATGTGTTGAAACAACAAATATGCCAAGTTTCATTGCAGTAGTTGTAGTCTCAAGATTTTTTTGTAGTCATAAAGGATAGAAATAGTTCAGGTGAAAACTATAATTTTGGTATGATTCAGCAACTTCAAGAAGTTTGTTAAAAGATAGGGACTTGCAATGTATGCATCTTACTCTAGTGCTGTCCATACTCGGTCCTGACACAAGTAAAATCACCTATGGTATAACTTTTTACTTTATCTCTTTTCCTTCCCTTTCCTCAACTTTTCTCTTTGTAATCTTCTACTTCACTATCAAAAACAGCTATGGAAGAATGACCTCAGTTCTTCTCTGGCTTGTAAGTAGTACTACCTGGCAGTAGTCAGGCTTCAGTTTGTTATTGGTGATAGGCAAGACACAGTGAATTCAACTTTGCTTATCACTGTTGTTTAGTTTTTACCTGAGAAAATTCCTGTCTGATCAGATGAAAAATTAGATGACAAATGGAGACTCGCATGTAGTTCTTAATTTTTCTGAGAGGTGTATTTTCTGCAATACATAGCAATTTTTTTAACCTTTTTCTGGCAATGCAATTATTAGTTTTTATACAGACTGGTGTGGAAAACTTGAAGGAAATAGTTAAAAACCCAACTTTGACCTGCTGGCACAGTGTCATGCACAATAAAGTGCCTCTTCTGATGTACTGGAGGATTAATTTGACTGGGATGAAAAGTAATTCACACTTTGTTCCCTTTACCATTTCCTGCAACTGCTCATTTTTTGTACAGTTACTGCTCATTTTTCTTGCTTCCTTTTTCATGATACAAACCTGTAATTTGTTACTACTTTAAAATGTTGTTCTGCATGTTAGCTTTCTTATACTTCAGTGCTGTTTTACCTAAACAGGACAAATAACACTTTGATGGGGGAGGGGAAAGGGCACATCAAGTCTATGATGGATCAGCTGAGTCATGTAAATCTAGTTTATAATTTCAAATCACTGTCTTCTTGAAATGTTCTTTTTAAAAAAAGTAAAATCTACCTTTGTATTTTAGGATGTGAATTGTGTGCGCATCAGACTGTCTGAAGCTGAATGTGCTTTGTGAGACGTAACTTTTAGGATAGCTTTTTTTTTTTGTAGGTAAATGAAGGCTTTAGTTCCATTTCACTCTGAAATTCAAATGTGAGGTCTAGATTTACTAACAAACACGAAGTATGTGTTCAGCATAATCCTGAACTAAGTTAATCCTTGCTCTTAGTGTTGTGTTCAAGTAAAAATAGTATTTCTATTACAGGACAAATTTTCATCATATCTGAAAAAATGCAAACCTGTTTGAATCTGTTGGTTGCAGCTGCTTTTTTATTAGTATGATCTAAATGCAGGTGACAAGTTGAAAGCTGTGATCTTCTGAGCTCTACTGCTATTAGATTTATTTATCAACCTAAGTAGTGTATACTAACGAGCCATTGCTGGTGGAAACAGCCTTAAGGTTGTTAAACACAATGTGTAGATACTCTAAGCTCTATTGTTTGAGATCCTGATGTAATTTGACCCTGGTTTGAGAAGGTACTTTAAATCTTGTTGGTTAGATATTGGAGGATCTATCTGATTTCATATGCATATTTTCCTATGTCAGAGCAAGAAACTTGACAGCAACGTTAACAGAATTGAGAATCTGGTGGTAGAAAAATATTTTGATTTGATGAATATTTTTGTAAGATTCTGTAATGATCAGAAACTCCAGACTAAGACACAAAAAGTCAGGGAATGTCGGTGGCATTGGTTAGAGAGGAAACATAAAATCTGAGAAATTCCATGTATTTCTGATGAGCTAGAACTCTGGTCATAGACTACCACATAGGATATGTAAGAAAATCAGTCCTCTTGTAATGCAATTCCAACACAACTCCTTTGATTGCTGGTCTGTTGATTTTTCTTTCACATTGGAAAATGGAGTTCATGAAGTCTAAAAACAAGGTTGTAAGTGCTGTGTTTTCCTGTAATACAGAAGCAAATCGCATAGTTACTGGTTTAGAGAAAATGCTTCCTTTAGTGTGGAGCAGTTCTAGTATTTGGGGAACTTATTATGTATATGAGAAACAAGTGAATAAATGCATTATAATCAGCAAAGCTGAATATTTATGAAATGTTCTTTTTTTGTTTGCACTCTTATTTGTGTGGTAATCTATTTCCAAGAAAATAAAAACTGAGATTCTTAGGTGAGCTTGCTTAACCTAAGAGGAGAGGAGTAGAACATATCTTAATTTGCTTTGTTTTGCCAGGTATTTATTTTAGAAATAATATTCTAATTTGTAAGTCAAATCCTAGTTGGCTTAATTAGTGGATATGAATGCTACTTTTAATTTGAAAAGCAATTAAACTATTAATTTAACTGCAATTAAGATAAATGTAACTTTTGACAGATATATTGAACAGAGTCAACCTCAGCTCATCACGAAGGGGGATACAGAATGGTGCACCCAGTAGAGGTACTTTATTGTCCTAATATGGTAATTAAAAACAAAAAATCCACAACACTTATGAAACATCTGACTGCAAAATTATATAAAGGTAACTTTGGAATCCTTTGCAACAGGTACAGTTACTGCATTCAAGCCTGACAGTCACCATTATGCGACACCTGCCTCCAGCCCCGGTGCCATGCCTGTGTCGTCAGTCTTTCAGTCTGTATCCAGACCTACAACTAGCTCTGTAGCAGTTCAGCCATTGTCTATACCAGTGAATGTTTCAGGAACTTCACAAACACTGCAGAGACCAGTTGCTGGATGTTTATCAACACAGCAGATGCCGGGGTCAAGTTCTGGAATATCACAGCCTGTTAGCAGACCTGTAACCATTCCAGTGACGACACAGCCAGTATCAAGAAATACCACGGTTCCTGTAGTGGCTCAACCTGTATCCAGGCCAGTGACTACTGTAACAGCACAGCCTGTAATGCTCGATCAGGTAAATTTTTATTCCCTTAAACTGTAAAATACTCAGGTGCAATTACTTTTGAATAAATTAACAAGGAACATACTGACTCAGTCTAGTAATTTGAAGACCTGGACTAGATTATAGACTAACATTATATAAGCTGTAAAGATTCTAGGACCATAATGTTGCACTGGTGAATTAAGATATATATTTAAAAATAGTGATTTGGAAGAGTCAAAGATGATAGCTTTAGTAACATTGGAATTACATTAAATGAAAATCTTAGGCATAAGAGAAATCAGTACTGTTTAGGTTGTGTGGAGAAATGATGGAAATTCTCATTCTCTAAATTTTGCAGATTTCTCTGCTCAGAGACAGATCCTCTGTAATGATAAATTAATTGAATTTTTAAATAGCTTGCATTTGGTGTTTAAAGTAACTTTGTGGTTTTCCCACCTGATTTTTACAGTGCCTCTCTTGGGATTTTCACTTCTTAAGAGAATGCTGTAGTGGTAGCTCCTTAGGTGTTTTTGCTTTTTGGTTCATGTGTCAGTTGTAGTGAAACAATAGTATGGTAAGGAGGACTTAAGGAACCAAAATTGCAGGGTCAGTAGATGAAACAATTCGGCAACATACTTGTTTTGCTTGAAAAGCCCAAGGGAATTCTGCACGTAGATCATATATCATAGATCTTCCTGGATTGCCACAGAACCTCAGAATGATAACTTTAGGGAGTCAAGTTAGATCCTGGTTTTATTGCCTTAGCTGTTGGACATTTGTGAGAGAGAAAGAATTAAGATTAAAATTTCATATTTGTATGAGGTAAACTATGATGTGATACCTTTATTGAAAATAACTTAAGCTGGAACTGTTTAGACAATGTGCCTATAATGTTAGCTACTCCTCTCAGGTTAAAATGAAGCCTAAGAGTAGGCACCATCTCCACCATCCATGCAAATATACACACCTGCAGTTGTCCCAGCTGTCAGTCTTCTGGTATAAATAAAAATCTCGCAGCCTAATGTATTCTGCATTTGCTGAACAGGGGTGTTAGTCTGAATCAACATAGTTAATAAGGCCATTAAAACATGAGAATTAGGTGTTCTTGTTAAGACTTTTGGCTAAATCATTGCGGATGGAGGGTTGTATTTTAAGAAAAACAATGCAATGGAATCATTGCCTATCAACTGGGTAGCTGAATCTGGCAGATTCATTAGGAAAGTACTCATACTTTCCAGTTTTGAGTCTTCAGCAGTTGATAGTTTGCAGAGAGAAATTGTGGGCATGTCTGGTGAAGCAGGTTAGCTAAATCAGTCTGTCACTGTATCTAAGGCGGCCTAAAAAATGATACAATCAAAAGTCCAGATATCGGTAGGATATCTAGATTGCCTCTGGAGTTCTCTTAAATCTGTCTTTATACGGCAGGACAGTTTAATACAGAAACGTCTACTCCTGCACATAATGTATACACATATTTCAAGTCTGTGAATTTTATTTTTATAAATGTTTACTTATGACATAGTATGCTTTATTAAATCCTTCAAAGGAGTCCTAGGATGTCTTGCAGAATCTTTACTGCAAAAGAAAGTCCCCTCCTTTACTTCCCTTGCCCATACATATTTTTGTTCTAATAGGCAAAGCTGCTAGTGGTCTGTACGTTGTTTTTATTAGAAAATCTTAGAGTAAAACACCTAGGAAAGCAGAACTTCTCCAAAAGGTATGTGTAAGCTGGACATAACTCATCAAGACAGTGATCTCCTTTAAAGACACTATACACACAGCACTTCTTTTTGTGAGAGTTCTTTTTCATTCATTGAGTTTACTTTCAACAGGAATGTCACAGATGAGACTTAAAGTTTTATAGTCTTATGTAGCCAAAACCTGCAAGTTGTTGTTCTTCTCTGGCAGAGTAGAGAAACACCTATTTGAAGAAGTTGCAGCCTGAAATATGACTTTCAAGGTACACGGTATGGAAAGGATCTCTAACCATGCATTAGTCACTTCTGTCTGTTCCAAGTTAGGCTGACATGCTTTAGAAAGTAATGCATTCTTTTCTGGGATATCCAGTGCATAGATACTCCACTGTTGAAATTATCATATATTATATGGTTGCTTTACAGTGTTGACATTTTGATCATGGCTTTCATGAGCTCTTAATTTTTTAAGCTATCCTAAATGTAACATCCTATTCTTTGCATGTTAAGATCTTGAGTACCTTTAGGAAGGTTTTTCTGTTGGCTTTTTTTTTTTTCCTTGCTTAAAACATGCTGCAAGTGAATTGTCCCTCTCTTCAACTTAACTTTTCTAAATTCAGAATTGTATTTTGAATTTTAGCCTTATCTATAATAATTTGTTTTCTTGTTTTTGTATTGTTCCTGTCACTTTATTATGTTATTTTTTTATGGGGAAAGAGGCTTGTTTGGTGTGCTTTTTTTCAGTGAGGTACTATAGTTCAGCTTCTTGGGCAAAGTTCTGTGACTTTTTTAAAATCACTCCTGCCACATTATGTCATTTGCTGTTCTTAGTGTCATATGTATACTACCTGTATTTTGGTTCATGTCCTTGGTTTGAATTGTCTTCATTCAAGAAGAGCTCCTTAGTTTTTTTGTACTTATTTTTCCCCCCTTTATCTAGTCTTTATTTCACTTGAGACCACTGTTTTATATTGATGATTTTCTGCCTTGGGCTTTCTGTGACATTTTCATTCACACATTATTTGTTTCGTCCCAACTTGATTTTCTTATGTGGCAAGGGCTTCAAATAAGTTTTTCTGGGAAATGCTTGATGTTTGGATTTTCAGCTTCCAGATGTTGAAACTTGCCTTTGAAATTAAAATATTGTGATGTGAAGATGACTGTGAGGTATGACTGGACACTGTGGCAGGACCCCTCTTTAGCTGAACATCCTTCAGAGAGCCTTTGCATTCCTAATATGGTGCAGTATTTTTTAATCTCAGGATGTCAAAGTTTTTCTGTGGGAACTGATTGCTTTTGACCACCAACTGGGTTGAAACACACACTTCCTCAATTTCATAACATGTAGGTCTATAGTTTACCTTTTGTCAATGTTTGGTATTCCAGTTTTATCATTGAAATACCCCTTTCCAATCACAGGCTTGATTCACTGACTTCCTGTAAAAGTCTAGCTTTTGTGTTCTTTTTACACTACATTAACGCAGTTCCAAAAACTCTGGGTTGAACTTGGCTTAAGTCGTACTGTTTACAGCAATTCTAATTCAGTCAGAGCTACTGCTGTTGTGTATGATAGCATAGGGCTATTTGCTTCTTTATGAAAGATTTGTTCTTAGCGGTTAAGTTCTTCTATAGTTCAGTGCTCAGAATGCTCTCCAATAAGCCCCAGCCAATTTTGTCCATATCTTTCCCCTACTTAATGGGCACTTTCCTCAGTCTGAGTGTGATTCAGGTTCCAGTTCCTACTTAATTTTGGGAGAGCAAAGGTCTGATACCATGCATTGTATTTCCTTTGTGTGGATTTGGTTACCAATTATCACGTTGGTTTCCACAGTTAGGAAATCTAGGATGGATAGTATGAACCAGTATTTTCATTAGTTTCCTGGAAAACTAAAAGTGGTGGTGGTTTTTTTGGGTTTTTGTTTGTTTGTTTGTTTGTTTTTCACTTGAGCCCTAGGAACTTCATTTATAAAGGTGTTGGGTTTTGCCTTTCTGCATGTGAGAGCACCTGTACATGTTAGTTTGGTATTTTTTTTCATTGATGTGGTAAAGCTGGTTTTTTTTCTTTAAAACGTTTTTGCTTTCTAAAGCATAGGAAGATACTGGGTTTTTTTCTGTGTGTAAAATGGCAGAGCCAAACTGTATGAAAGGAGTAATTGTAAACAGAAAAGGATACTTTGGAAATTATGAGGCTTTGAATTTCCAGGATGTCTGTTTTTACTAGCTTACTTGCCAGATATGTTTAGTGTATATACTAGGGAGATGTACATATGCCATCAAAATACCCAGGCTATTATTTTGAAGAAAGTTAAAATATTAGCAGCAGTTAAAAACAGGCCAACCACAGAGTAGTAAGAGAAGCAGATTTTATGTGCAGCTGTTTTATTGGTCGTATTTCAAATGTAGGTGGTATGTGTAGTCCTTCACAGTAAGAGCCTACCACAGGCTTACCACCTGAGCATTAGTTGTGCTTGACATGGGGTTTGTAGGCTAAGCTGCTTTGCTACTAATTTCACTGGCTAGTCTGAAACGATTGTGGCTACAGCAACATCTGCTCTGTTGTGACTGTAGCTCATGTGGCTGTTATGAGTAACACACAGAGCAGAGAAATTTAGTAACTATTTCTGCAACTACTCTTGAACATTTATGTTTAATTTGGTTAGATTGGATTGGGTCACTCACCAGAAGAAAGAACGGCTCTTCATTATCATTAAGGTCCTGTAGGACCTTCATTTAAGAGATGTACAACAAAAAGGCAGGATGGGGAGAAGCATCTTCCTTTGTGTTCAAATCTTTTCTGATACTTAGGAGTCCTGAAATAGATTATCATACCTGTGCTCTTCTTTGGACTTCTTACCATCACGTTGACTAAACTTGATGGAGGTTAAAAATGCAGTGACTGCCACAGGGATGTTTTCCAGTAAGCACCACAATTGTGAATGGGAGCCGTTTTGTGTGACTGATCTTTACAGTAAGAAGTGTTTTGGCCTTTGTCTCATGGATACACTGATGACGAAGCCTGTATGTGTGTATTGGATGATTTATTTTCTTTTTTTTTTTAGGAAAATGAAGCTACTTTTGTCAAGTTTGTTTTTTTTTTTTCACAATACAGCTTGATGAAGTGTAACTAATTGAATTATTTCAGAGTAGAAAGATCAAGTGCCAATATTTTGCTGTTCATACCTTAATGTTGAAATTAAACCTAACTCTATTATAAGTTTTTTCTTAACTCCTTATTGCTATTGCTGAAAATATTTCATGTTCCAGATTGTGTTAGGATGAATGGCCTATTAAAATGTGAGCAGTATTGATGAGTCTTGGAACGTGTGTTTCTCCTACCTCACCCCCAAACTTTGAATATCTGTAAAGAGAATTAAATTTCATGTTTCTTTTCCCTCCAAATTTTACCTGTTGAGTGATCAGTGATGGTGTTTAGTTTTAACAGTTTTCAGTGTTGGAGCCAAGAAATGTGGACTATTTAATTTTTTTAGGTTATATGTAGTACTAAAGGGCAAACCTTTTAAACTGAAGGGTAAGAGAATACCTGTACTTGGAGGCGCTCAAAACTTAATGTAACAAGACACTGAGAAACATGAACCAACTTTCAGGTTAGCTGTGCTTTGAAAAGAGGGTTTGACTATACTATTTCTGGAAGTCCTTATGAAATTACTCTGCATGAAAGAAAAAAAAAAACCTTCAGTGATATAATGAACTTGAGTGCCATTCCCAGTCAACAAGCTATAGATACTTTTTTCATTAAAGCTTGACCACTTAGTAGAATTTGATTGATTTAATATCATCTTGCTTTGAGAAGGCTTCTGCTTGCTGCAAGTTTGTGCTACTTTTGACTTCTGTTTTCTGATCAGCAGAATGCAGCTAGCTGTTACGCAAGAGTAACAAGCAAATGCCTGAGTTTGAGTTGAAGGAAGAAAGCATTAGTTTTTTGAAAAAACAATTCAAGTGTTTGAAACGTCATCAGACTTTTGAACAAAAGCAGTTATAATTAGCAATTCAAACAGGTTTAGTAATATTTCATAAAATGGACTTTCCCAGGTCTTACCGTTGTTTTTACTATTCTGATACGCAGCTATGAATAACTTAACCACCACTGATAAAAGTTGCAAACTTATCAAAATGTCAAAAGAAACTATTTTGGGGAGATTGTAATTAACTTGATTTACAGCTGAGTACTTATTAGTACTTTTAAGCAATCATATGTTTTTAAAATAAACCCTTTGAAGCCTGCAAGTAAAAAAATGTTAAACCTCAAATTTCTTTTCCCTCTTGAAAATATCTTATTAGGATTATATTATGGATTCTCCACCAGCTGCACCAGATAATACATCTGGTATACTGTTTGGTGTGAGACAGAACTCGGGAGTTCCACAGTACCAGACTGGGCCAGCAGTGAATGTAACAGGTGGGTATAACTGTAGTAGTTGATAAGAGAAAGAAACAGCCTAATGTCATTTAACTGTAGTGCAGATCTTTGGGTTATAACTTTAAATAGGCTTTCTAGAACATAGCATAGCTACTTTTTTCTTCCCCCTGTACATAACGCTGTATAATGTTGAGTGAAATAAACTTTGGAGCCTTTTGTTGTGAGACTTTGCTTTTCAGCACATTAGACTGACTGTAATATCAACTGATGTCTTCTTATGATGCTCATTTAGATGGAAAAAAATATTGCCAGATCCACTGTAATTTTTTTGACCGATAAAGGCTCATTTTCAGTATATCCAGCACTCATTGACTAGCATGAACAGGAATGGCCGTTAGCAAGAGAGGGGCTGTGAACAGTACCAGAAGTACTTCCCGAGTCTGCTGAGTTGATTCCCTGTGATGATGATCCTGGTTTCCTGACTGCTATATATATAGGAGTTGGAGTAGATGGGATCAAAAGGATTCTGTCTGAAAAGGAGGGGAAGAGAAAGAATATGTAGTTTGACAAGTAAAATATTTTTTAAACTAGGTAAATTGTGTTTCAGCAGAAACTATTTAACCTACTTAAAAACAAACAAAAAAGTGCTTTTTTTGTGTCACAAAAATGTGATGAAGTAGATCTGAAGCATGCAGTGCATTCAGTCTTAAAGAGGCTATAGCGTGGGACTTCCCTTCTCTTTTGTGAAGGATTACACTTTTGTAATAACTGACCAGAATCCTGTCCTTCAGTCTGTAACTTACAGATGACAATCACTTCTGATTCTTCCATGAGATAACAGGATATGTACAATGAATGGCCTAGCCAGTCATACTAACTAGTTACGTGGAACAGAGTGATTGCTAGTTTAAGTTTACTCTGCTTGATGTGATGATTTTGCATCTCTAAGCATTCACTCCAGATACTTATCAGTGAAGGGTTGGTAGTGTATTTCCTTGCATGTGTCCGACTATTCTGTGATCTCATTCTTGTCTTATCGGGTTAAAAAACTTCTTGTAAAGTAAGCAAAGCTTTTATTTCTTGCAAATGGTTCAGTATTCCAGCCCTTGTTCTCCAAAGAACAGGTATTAAAGTTTAATTGTTTGTGGGTTTTGTTTTTGTTTTTAATTTAGGAGACCTGCTTGCATATTTAAAAATTACTTGTATTAGTCTCTTATCCAGAAAAATGAAATAATTAGAAGCATCAAGGATTGTAATTCAAAGTGTCTTAAATTTACCGTACTTAGTCTATGTTTATTGATGTAAGATGGCAATAGGGTTTAGATATTAGAAGGTTTATAATTGTGGGTTGAAACACAAGTATCTCTATGATACAGAAGGCAAATTTAAGATACATTTAACTTCACAAAAGGAAGTGTCTGCGTATTTTGTGGTTTGGCTTGCATGGTGAGGTCACATAATGTGCTTATGTTCATGTTGTTCCTATGTGCCAATACCTGCTTGCCTGTGTTGGTGCTATGCTTCCTCTAATTCGTGTGCAGCACTGGGCACAAGACATTCCAGAATATGGTATTTAAAAGCAGAATCCTTTTGGGAACTGACCTGTGATACTCTGCAGGACAACTTAACTTCTGTACATGGATCATTAAAGACGTTTTTAGCTCAATATAGCATAAGTATTTATTTTTGAGGTCGAAGCAGGGAAATGACAAACTTTTAATGGACACTAACAAACCATTTTGTTAGGTTGCTAAATAGGTAGTGGTGTTAAGTTAAACACCATTGATAACTCTTACCTGCAGGTTGGATGGGCACTGGGGATGTATGTAAAACTGTAGTTTGCTTTCTGAGACTATTTTGGATTCATTCTCCCACAAACTTTACCCACTTGGAGGAACCAGAAAATGTCATAACCAATAGAAGAACTGTTCTGTGGTATTTAGGAGTTGACTGGACTGTATACGTGCATTCATAGCACTAGATTAACAGGAGATCTTGGTGAGGGACAATGCACTAGAGGCCTGAAATAAATTGGCTTTCATGTCCCTGTTCTGGTAATTTGATCTGGCTGTTACCACAGTGCATTTGATGCTTTTATTCTAGGTTACCATTTCTAATGTCTCTTGCCATCATTCATAAAATCAGGCCCAGAAAGCACAAATGCACGTAAGTGTTAAGGATTTTATAGTAGCATTGTAGTGTATGTTTAGAAAGCTGTTGGCAAGGTGGTACTGCATCCAGTATACTTTGCTCCTTCTTGCAATCATTTTAGATATTGTACACAATAATACTGTGTGTAGGAGTATAGCCAACTCTTTCGTAACAGCTACACAATATTTACAAAAGTATTCACTAATAGCATGAAGTGAAAGTAATAGACTCCTGAGCAGCCTGAAAACCAAACAAGAATTGTTTGGCTGCTGCTTTTCTCTGCTCTGTTGAGTACGTGGAGTCCCTGACAGTTTTGGCGGTGTGATCTGCTGGGTAGAGGATTGGACAAACTAGTCTAGAACATGGGCAATCCAAGGAATCCTCGTGTCCATGTACCAGTTGAGAGGGGCTCTTTGATGAAAAGAGGAGTCAATCTAATTTATACCAGCTAAATATTAAATAATACTTGGAATTGGTTTGATTATTTTTTCAAAATAGCCTTTATGTTTTTTTTTTTAAATGAACAAAAACCAGAATTCCAATGCAAACCTATGTATATTCTCCTAGTATTATTATAATTCTGAAAGATGAAATTTATTATATCAGAGTTGTATGAATTGAGTTAAGAATTCTCACCTTTATAAATGTATAAAATAGTCTTCCAATTTTTTGTCACAGATGTGTCAGGCTTTTTTAATTGAAATTATTACCAGTTTTGTTAACACGTAAGTCCTTTTTTCCAAAACAGGTTTTCTACAGTAAAATAAAATACTGAAGATTCTTGTAAAATCAGTCAGACCTTCTGTCTTTTCCCTGGCCCTCATTACACAACTACACATAATTAAATATATAGCAGCAGTTCCTGCTGTAGGTTGATGGCCTGATGCTCGAATAGCCTCAGTGATACAGAAGAATGCTAAAGTCATACCAGTTCTAGAAAAGCCTTTGCTGATCAAGACACGTGTCAATATAAGCAGCTCATATACCTAACAGTGCAAGTATAACTAAATTAAAAAACCCTAGGAATTGGTAGTATCCAATGAATAACCTGTTTATTTTGTGAATGTGTTCATTACCTTAGGCAAACAATGCATAGAGTGAGACATTTGAGCTTAATATGTTCATTTATCTCAGAAAGAAGGAAAGGTGTGCTACAAAGGAGAACATTAGGATGATTAACTACATATATAACAAGTGAATTATGTTTTCCTGTATATGAGGCATAGTGTGCTAAATTCTCCAAGATGCTCAAATGCCAGCATTCCCTCCTGGGATTCTGTACCTCTGTGGATTGAATGGGGAGACTATCCAGACTGTTTGCTAGGTGTAGATAGTTATCACTAAATAAACACAACTTGGGTGTGGGAGGGAGTTGCTTTGTTTCTTCTCAGAAGTTTGGATAATTTTACATGACATGAGTTATCTCTGCTTGTTGAGAAGACTTTTGAAGATATTAATTCAGTTTCTTATTACACCCGAAGAAATCATTGGAGCAGCTAGACCGTTGGGAGGGGAATATACAAGAATGTCCTTAGTTCAGATCATTGTGTCTGGAACTAAAGTCCAGTCCTTGTCATAGTTTATCATAGTCTTACAGCTATTTGCAGTCTGTGATTGTGAGAGATTTACAAGGCCTGTGCTGGCACTTCAGACTTCTTGGTATGTAGCTGTGCTCTTTCAGCTCTACTTGAGGATTGATCTCTGTATTGAGATTACATCGTCAAGGGTAATCTTACAGTGAGAGAGACATGGGTTTCAGGACAAGATGGAGCCAGGTATTGATGGGCATGTTAATCAGGCACCAAACCTCTGAATTTCCTAGTTATTTTTTAGTGATTTTTTTTTTAGAAGGAATATTGCAAACAATAAGTGAATCAACTGTTCTTTCAGAAGAGAGCAAGTAGGTGTGCTGTGATTGGTCATTAGAAGTTACAACACTTTTCATTTTGCCTACAAACTAAAGTCTCAAATGTTTTACAGAATGAAATAACAAACTAAACCAGCATTAACATAGGACCAAAACAAAGAAGAGATGTTTTTCAGCTGAAGGGCAGAGGTTGTTCCAAATAGTGGGTGTTGCAGAAACCAGCTGCTTAGCTTAACTTTATTACTGTGAACTTACCTTGTCGCAGATGTGAAAAGTAGGCCAAATAAATTCACGTGGTCATCGTATGATTTACTGGCATTCAGGGATGGGGCTGTATCTCTTTGCATTTACCTTTTCCTTCTCCACTGGCCTTAGAGTATTCAGTCTGAGTTGAATATTGTTTTCTTAACTTTTGTATGGCTTATTATTTTAGGGAAATTTTAACTGCTTTATGTAGACTTGTCCATCTGTTGAATATAGGCATCAGTAATGTGTTCATAATATACTATGGAAAAAACCTGAGGTTCTTTAATTTAAACCACTGTAGGTCGGAATGAGAGTGGTTTTGTATCTAAGCGTCCTGCTACTTCTGAAGGCAACAGTGTAACTCCAAAAAAGGCCAAGCCTAATGAGGTTGGTGCTGGAAGCAATTCAGCTGTTTCACCTACAGTTAACTCTCCAACAGTAACACCATCACAAAATGTATCTTCAAAAGGTAGGGTAGATCAAATGGTCTAGCTGTCAATCCATGCATCTGTTTCATGGAAAAAGCTAGCACTCCTGTAATGTTTAAGTTGATCGGTATTATTAATGCTATTAAGGCAATGTAAGTACGTAAACTCTGTTTTTATGCCTTAAAATAAGAAAAAACTTTCTATGCAAGGATTTGTATACCTTTACAAATTAATACATCCTAGGTTATTACCTATTCAAATTTTAGACTTTTACTGTTTGGTAGGTATGTTTGAATTCTGTAAAGCAATGATTAGTTAAGTCATTTAGTGGCTGTGAAGACAGATGGTCAAAATAAATACCCCTGACCTCATACTCTTAGTTCAGATTTTCTATGTCAAAGAACTGAATAGAGAGTTGAAACTTTAAAGAACAGCCAACCAGAAAATCAAGATTGAAAGAATTCTGTGACTGCTGAATTTATCAACTAATTCTGATTAGATAAAAGGAAGAAAAAAAAAAATCATTGTAGGAATGTCAGGCAAGGCAGCAAGGACTCAGATTGTAGAATCTCCATCCTTGGAGATATTCAGAAGTTGACTGGACACAGAGCTCTGAGCATCCTGATAAGGTTGGGCTTGCTTTGAGTGGGAGGTTGGACAAAAACACCTCCACAGGTCCAACTTAATTATTCCGTGATTCTGTACTTCGACTAACTATTGCAAAGTGTGTTTTGCATTTTCCCCCTTTCTTTTGTAGCAGTGTTTTTGATACAGTTTTAAATAGTAGTGGTAAAGGAGGAGGAGGATCTAAGTTTCAAAGAGAGGATGTTCTTTGAAAGACCTTTCCTTCTATACAAGAAGAGAGGTAGTCTAGCTGATTCAGCGTATTAATAATTAGGTGCATTTTCCTCCTGAGCCAAAAGGTGCTTTCTAGCTGATGGTAATAGATGAGGATTTATTCTTGACTCTGAGATATTTCCAACCACATACTCTCTCCTATAATGGTAAAATGAGGAGCTACCTACAGTGTGATTCTGTGTTTAGAATAATTTCATATTTGGGTTTTTTTCATGTCTTGTTTGCAGCTGGTTTGCTATCAGACTCTTCCTCAGCAACCAGAAGGAAGCGGCTATAACATGAAACATTGCAGAAAAATTTTCCTCCACCCTGTGTTGGGTAAAACAGACACTGTGCTGCAGCCTATAACATATAAAAGATAACTGGAGGATCTTACTAAATGCAGTAACAAAGGAGTAGATCATATTCACTGAGAACCATATTTTTATGAGTTTGTCTCTAAGCCATCCCGTGCTAGCATAGAGGTTTCTGATCTGTCACAGAATCCAGCACTGAAGCACTGCAGAACACTAGGTCTTGCTGCAGAACCTGTTTTCTTCCAACTCAGCTTGCACTTTGCTGTGACGTGTCAAAATGTCTTACAAACTGTAATGGGGAAGACTTGCAGCACTGTTTTGCAGTACGTCTCTTGCATGGCCATCCACTCATGTGAAGGACTTTCTGCTTAATTATGGTTCTTAGCAATACTGTTATCGTCAGGGAAAAATACTGTTTGATCCATGTCTACCTCATGGACTATGCAAGACTATTTCTGTGAAAAAATGTATAAAGCTATTGCATGGTCATCTCTTAACTCATATACTTACTCATTCCCTTGTAATAAGGTGGATGCATTTGTGTGTTTATTACATTTTTTTCTTAGCCCTGGCAGGGTACAGTTGACTCTACAGTTGAGATGTTACTTAAAACTCTTCCTGTGTTTAACCGCTTCTTCTAAACTAATTACTTAGCATGGAGTCCTCCAGATCTGTGAATGACTTGAGAATGCAAGAGAACATCTGGAAAAGTAGCTCTCGCTCTGGTGTTTTTTTGGCAGTTTTGAGAAAACTGGAAGCCTGGGTTTATTCATTAAAGTTTAAGCTAATGCAAAGCGGTTTTGGTTTTGCTCAAAAGGTATTAATCATCCTATGTTGATAAGAGAAATACTATTTCCTTTCATTACTGGGAGTAATTATTTAGAGGATTTATTCTCCAGGTTCTCCAAAGACACCTTTGCTCAACAGGAATGATGCATCTGAATAGGCCTAGGTTCCAGCTGTCCAGAGAGAAATATTCTCATCATTGAGAACCAGATGGTGAAATTTCTTTCCAAAACCAGTTATCTGAACCTTATTGTGATGATGATCAGGTCATGGCATAAAACAAGTTTTACATGTTCATTTGAGAATTAAAGTTCTTAAAACAAAAACATCAAAAATCCATCCTCCCGGGGGGTGGGGGTGGTGCACAGAATTAATGTTTTGTATTATAATAAAATAATAATAAATTCAGAATAATAAATAATAAATTCAGAATTCACAAACAGAATACTCAATCTTAAACATGTTTTAAATTTTACAGGTACAAATGCTGCATCAAGCACCATTAAAAATGGAGGACCTTTTCCACGAGCTTGCCCGAAGTGCAATATTCATTTCAATCTTATGGATCCTCTAAAAAATCATATGAAGGTAAAGTATTTTGGGGTGGTAAACATTATAAAGTTATGTGGGCTTCTGTTTGGTTGTGAGAGTGCCATGTTTTGATATGAAGGTAGTCTGGCTTCTGGCTGTGATCAACCAGACCCCAAATGCTCGATGTCTTGCAGTCATGGAGAGGAAGAACGGAGCAGGGGAGCTCTAAATATTGCCACTTTTTGCCTTATTTTTCCAATGAATTGAGGCATCTTTGCTGTCTCTATATGATTTCTCTCTGCCACAGATTCAGGTGAATTTGATGAAGGTAAGTGCCTATGATAATAGGCAGCTAGTTGACCCACATCTGTTAGATCGCTACTGAGACAAAGATGACAATGTAAACTTACCTTTTTATCTTGATATATCATTTGGTAGCTAAAAAAGTTGTTAAGCTGCGGGGAAAAATTTAATTTGTAGTTCACACTCAAACACTGTGAGAAACAAAGCTTTCAGAAACTAAGCATCACTTAGTCTGCTTATGAAACTACTTGTTATTGTTTCTGGAAACACTGTTTCCTGCAAAACATTTATTATTATTTGGCAAAGATTCGTGCAATTCTCAGGCATATGTATTCCACTTCAGGGGGTGGAGAAATGGCTTTACACTCTATATACGATGTGAATAACCCATGCAAAAAGGAGTATGAACTACTGTGTAATAGAAGTCTGTGAGGCTCTGAGTTACTGTTAACACAGATCACTCTGATTTACTGCGCTTAAGATAACCTAAATGGTAGCTACTGTCCTCTTCAGTGTCAAAACACAATTAAGAAACATACATAACAGTGGAAAAAAAACAAAGGTGTTATCTTTCTCTAATCATTATTTGTAGAGAATAGCTTTTGCACCGAGTACATCAACCGAATGAAAGAACCATTGAAGAAATGGGTTTACTTAGTATTCTTTAATTAAATTTTTAGTTAAACTACATGGGATAAATATACGGAGTTACACTTCCACAGTAGGAAATGAACTCCTTACTGGTAGGCTTATAGAAAGCAGTCCTGCACAATAAGAACATTATTCAGCACTAGAAAGATCTGTCCTCTGGAACATGCTAATTTTGTTCACTGTTGGAAACTTCATGGCATCTTCTGTATGAAGTGCTTAATACTTTTTAGGCGCTAAGTTTCATATTATAGCTATTGGGTTAAGCATTTGTTATGTACACTTTGATATAAAGAAGCTTGAATAATGTGTGTTGTGTGACTTAAAATTTCTGAATTTTTCTAATGAGTAAGGCAACACTGGTATTCTGATTTCTAGCTTAAATTTATCTTGCGTGAACCTGTGAGAATAATCCCTTTTCAGCTTTTATAATAGATAGCGTTTTATTAGCTAAACACTACCTAAAGATCAGTTACTGTTCAAAATCCATATGTGAATATGAATGAAGTCAGTGTGTCAGAGAACTGAGCTTTGCATCTAACTCTAGTTAGTGAGTGGCTTCAGTTTTTAAAATGCTGTTGTCATTGATGCGGTTTGGTAAGAGAGACTGATACCTTTGTCTCTGTCTGTCTCATCTCCTCCCCCTTTCCATCCAGTATTGTTGTCCAGATATGGTAAATAACTTTTTCCTGGGAATGACCAAAACAGAATGTTTGAGCACAGCAAGCAAGACTGCTGAATCTGAGAAAGGAAAGTTGATTATGTTAGTTAACGACTTTTATTATGGGAAACATGAAGGTGACACCCAGCAGGTACAACAGGAGCAGAAGACTCATACGACATTTAAGTGCTTCAGTTGTCTGAAAGTTCTTAAAAATAACATAAGGTATTTGAACTCACTTCCTTAACTGTTTGTTAATTACTTACAGCCCATAGCACTGTCTCATGCATTAAGAATTTGTCTCTCTGGAATAGAATTTTTTTTCTTATTGAAAACTGATAATATTGGGTGACTGAACAGAAATTGGGTTAATTTTTACTACGCATGTATGGCCGTAACTTAAACTTCTTACAGATTAGAGTACAAATTTTAATGATGTAGAGTTTTAATGAGAGCAGTTGTAGGACTTTGGGGTTAGGAAGGGCAACAGAAACTGTTTTACAATTTGCCATCTGGATTGATGGTGGTATCAGTAGATGCGAGTGTTAATTCCCTTTAGGGACGCACAATGACTAATAGTTGGTGCTTTACTTATGTAACATCTGTTATTTTGATGCAATAATTTTACTTCCAAATGCTGCAAAAAAACTTCAGTAAGCTGTTTTAATAGGTAGACGAGTTCATGTCATTGTTCCTTTGGAAGTTAAGGTCATTGAACTCTTTCACATGCATTCTTCAAGAGAAGCTGAAGTAGCAGAATGTAAAACTGAAAAATGAACTATTCCTTCAAAGGGCACAGTCTGCAAATTAAAATGCACAGGTTTATGCTAACATTAGACCCATATTATTGAACAAAATAAAAGTTTCATGTAATTACAGACATTAAATTTGCTATTAATCATTAAGTATGTGTAAATCCTAAGTAAAAGTGCTGGTAATTTATCTTGTGTGTTGTTAGACTTTAAAAGAGTTTACTCTCATGATTTTATAGTTCCTGTGAATTACAGCATTTCAGAGTGTTAAAAAGTTAAACCTTTTTAACACTGAAACCTTTTTAACACATTGCACTCTTTAAGAGCAATAAACAATGTTTGATATGGGCCGAGAGGTTTTTCTTCTGGTTTTGTATGCATAATACTTTTCAAATAAGCCTTTTTTGCAGTATCATGAAAAGTAGTCCACAGAAAGAATACTTTATTAAGATACTGGGTTCATTTTAAAAAGTATTTTCCAGGTGCTATTTTCTACTCAGCGTGATATTGTAAGCTATTGGTGCTATGGTCCTCATGTGTTCCACAGCAAGTCATTAAAAATGAACACTTAATTTTTTTCTTTTAATTTCTCTAGAGTCAACTTTCAGCCATATTAATTTTTTCTGTAACTTTGTAGCTGTATTCCATAGTTCTGTAACTTCGGAATTGTTATTCCAAGGTATATTTCACACCTTTAACCATTTATAGTGGACAAAATAAATCCATAGTACCTCTCTACTTGTAGTGGAAGTTTTCTGGACCATGATTCAGAAAAGCGCAAAGTGATTCATCAGGGTAACCCCCTGCTTCCTTTAAAAGATCTGTGGTTGAACACACCATTGAAATAATGTTCTGTTAAGGTAATATGCAGTAGTAGTGTCAAGTCCTTTCTTCTGCTTAGCTACCTGGATATCTTCATTTAGGGCGCTTTTTTTTTTCTATTTCTTTTTTTAAGCAACTGCATGATATTAGAAGCTTGAGTTCAAGACACTATTCTCCTTGCTCATTTGTTTTTTCCAATTCCAAGGTCACCACTTTGAGAACCACATTCCTTTTGCGAGTGTGACCTACATTTAATAGTTCCGCTGGCTGTACTGAAATGAAGCACATTTGAAACAGAACAGTTTTTGAAGTTTAACAGTAGTGGGTTGTGCAACTAACCTGTCCTTGTGCTGCTCCACCAGTAACCGTGGCCCGCCAACGTTGTCATGGGTGCCTAGACTTCTCAGCCAGAATAGGTTCCTACTACAGATAGGTGGACATATTAATGAGAAAAAGGTGGTACCTTGAAGTAGTAGCATACCGCCAAGTTTCTCATACTCTTTTGATTGTCAGCTGCACAGTGGCATTCTTTGATAACTGTCCTTCATAATTCAACTTCGGTCCTAAATGTTTTATACAAAGAAAGCTCCTGGAACCTTGCCAGTTTTGAATGGAGGTGGTTTCAGAAAAAGCTGTAATTTCCTAATTGCAGATGTGTTCTTGCTACTTAATAGTTTTCAGCACAGCTAAAGTTATATTTGCTTCAGAACGTGGCTTTGAGACTCTAGGGGTGGTGGTGAAGTGTGAACAACTGACATGTTTCGTTGTTGTTGCCTTTGCTAATTTCCCTTTATTTCAAGGCAAGATTTTTGTCTAAGCAAACATGAAAAATGCAGTAGATTGCTTAGTCCTAGAACACATTTCGGATATGTTGCACGGTCCTTATAATAGTAAAGATTTCTTTTTAAGCTTTGAAAGATGATTTCTGGCGTAGTCAGCTTGCTTAACTTTGTTGCCTTTTGGGGTTTTTTTTAGTGAACACTTATTCCTTAGATTTTTTTTTTAAATTGAGAAGTCCTTACAGAGTAAAGTTTGTAAAGAATCCTGTACGTCTTGCATGTGCTGTGTCATGTACAGTGAATGTTAAAATGTAGGGTTTTGCACCTGTTCATTGTCATTTAAAGGTTTATGAACCACATGAAACATCACTTGGAGCTTGAGAAGCAGAGCAGTGAAAGCTGGGAAAGCCACACCACCTGCCAGCACTGTTACCGTCAGTTTCCCACCCCATTCCAGCTGCAGTGCCACATTGAAAGCACACACACGCCCTACGAGTCATCTAGTAAGTTGGATTGTATCACGTTGAATCTTTGTGACCTAAAATTTTTAGATATTTTCTGACTTGTACTTTGCTGGTTTGTAACTTCAGAATAAAGCTATTGTACTTTAAGAGCAATAATATTGAGATTTAATATAGAAGCTGAGCACTCATTCAATTTATATTAGAGCAATGTGTGTAGACAAAAATATTTTAAAAAGCTTTTTTTTTTTAATTGAAGGCTTGATTGCAAGAATTCATGTTGTTTAAGGGCCTTGCACTGCTGGCTTCCTGAAATTGTACAGGGAATTTCTTCTGAAGAGTAGAATAATGGTTAGATTGCTTTACCTTTGTAGATTTATACAGTTCACATATACATACTTCTTATAATTTATCTACTTATGACCCCAAATGAATTTTTACTTTCTTCTTGTTTTTCACTTTTCCTAGCAATTTGCAAAATCTGTGAATTATCCTTTGAAACAGAGCAAGTTCTTTTGCAACATATGAAGGACAATCATAAGCCAGGTGAAATGCCGTATGTTTGCCAGGTATCTCAGAGTGACTGTTTTGTATTTAGATTACACCACCCCTCTGTCTTTACTGTCAATAAACTTTTAACAAGAAAGTCAACCTTTTTGTTTTAGGTATGCAACTACAGATCCTCAGCTTTTTCAGATGTAGAAACACATTTTAGAACAGTTCATGAAAATACAAAACACTTGCTATGCCCATTTTGCCTCAAAGTAATTAAAATTGGAGCACCGTATATGCATCATTACATGAGGCATCAGGTAAGCAGGTATTTCCAATCCTTAATGCTAGAAAAATGCTAAATATATGTCCTGAATCTATCTTTGGAAAAAAAAAAAGTGTAACTGATTTGTATGGTTGTTACTGAATAAGAATCGTTAATAAAATATGGTAGAAGAATGATGACTGGCTCTTTTGAAGAGTCTTTAAGCGAATTGTTAGAATTTGTCATGTTTTTGTGTGACAGCAGCTCCCTGTTTAAAAAAAAATCTCTGAATATCCTTGAAAGAATATCTCTGCTATTTGGTTTCGTCATTAAGTTGTAGTGATGTGTTCTGCTTTTCTTGAGGTTACTAGCAAACCTTTCACTAGTTCAAGCAGAGAAAAAGATTATGAAGTACCGTGTCGTTTTGTAACTGGTAACCTGATCCCTCCTCCTCTTAGTAATGATACTGCCTTGCATTTTCAAGTATTTAAATATTCTGCCTTTAATTCCTACACAGTATCTTGGCTTTGTACAATATCAGGAGTTTGTCCGGTTGATGTTTTAGAAACTGAATGACCATTGCTTGAGACAAGCTAGGGTTGGAGTTCTGTTTATCATGACATTCATGCTTACTATAGATTGTCTTCCATTTTTAAAAGAAAAAAGGAATATACCGTTGTACTAAGTGTAGACTGCAATTTTTGACGTGCAAAGAAAAAATGGATCACAAGACTCAGCATCACCGAACATTTAGGAAACCCAAACAGTTAGAAGGATTGCCTCCTGGAACAAAGGTAAATGTTCATATGGGAAAATTAGAGGGGACAAAGGAAAAAAGGTAAAAAGGTATTGGTAGAGAAAGGGGTGGAATAGAAAGAACTGCTTTTCTCTTTTTCCAAAGCAAAGTTTTTTGGGGGGTTGGTTTTGGTTTGGGGTTTGTTGTTGTTTTTTTTTGCTGCCTCTAAAACTAAAACTCTAAAAAATACTCCTGTTGCAAGAATTGCCAGGCACAGTTTATGGTTTCTTCCTGGTGATCTGTGGTGGTGCTCTCTGTCCCATTCTTCCATACAGGTATATGTCCAGTCAGTGCTGCTGCTTTCTTGAGCTGTTAGTTAATATAGAGTGCGAGACCTACTCCTCCATAGACAATATGTGCCTAAAACTGAGTTCACCAGGTCTTTTTTAGCTCCAGCATTTGAAGGGGAACAAACTCCCACAATTTTCTGTGAAGTGTTTTATGAAGTAAACTTGGGTCCCCTCAGAACACTTAGGCTATCTTTAAATCATTCTTCCATTTCTCGAGAAGGAACCACTTAAGACTAGGATTTTCCTGTAGATTTCAGGACTTTTTCCTACAGTTTTTTAATGAAGTGTGAAGGTATATGTCCTTCCAGTTGAAAGGAAGAAGAAAATTAACATTTTGATCAGCTCTTCACAGTTCATCTGCTGTAGAATCAGGAAAGGAAAATGACTGAAGTTGATGTTGACTGTGTTGCTTGGCAGAATGTAAAGCACTGATTCTCTATTCTGTGACAATACCTCAGTTTTGTAAAGATTTCAAGGTCTTCATGATCTAATAAAAGCTTAGATTATGTTAAAATGTTGGTGTTAGTAGACCTTGACAGGATGTAGATTATGCGACTGAAGAGCTTGGAACCAGGTTTAGAAGGTTATGTGCTTCTAAACTATGAGTATGGGCAAGAAGTATAATTAGGGGTCATGCTGCAAGTGAAAACTGGAGAACCAAATTTAAGGGCAAGACAAGGGAGCGTGATAATGCTAGATGAGATGTCAGAAGTCGGAATTAGTCCTTGGGGGTCTAGGATGAGGAGCAAAAATATCTGAAGGAAGTAGATTGGCTAATCATGAGGCAACAAGACACAGGGCTTTTGTTAAATCCATGCACTGATGAGATTGTTTGATATTCTTCCTAGTGGGGCTAATTGGCCTGACCTTTCTGTTTCTTTTCCACAGCTACATTTTTGTTTGTTTGTTTTTGTTTTAAGAAAGCAGGATGTAGCCAGTTGCAGGTCTGAAAAGAGAGCAGTGTGTTTTGTCATGGCTAACTATTTCCACCAAAACGAGAGCTTTTTAAGCATCCAATAGACTACTGAGGCTAGGTTTACTCTAGTCAACATCATTATTTCATATTTTTCAAAGCAGTTTTTACTGAGAAGTGTTTCTCATGCTATGATTTTTGTCCTAAAGTGGCTTAAACTTTGAGACAAATAGAAATGGGAACTTAGCTTAAATCTAAATAGAAAAATTTTTAATTTCATACTTGTAGGTGACTATTCGAGCATCTGTTGGATCTCTTCAATCAGGATCATCAGCTACATCTTCTGTTAGTACAAGCACTTCCACGTTTCAGTTATCACCTAAAGCTAAAAATACAACCACTAAAAATCATAACAGATCTAATACAAGTAAGTCAAAAGCAAAGTCAAAACCAACTACATCGAAGAAGCAAAATGCGTGGACCAACAGCAAAAAAAAAAAAGAAGTTACAAATACAGCATTGCATAATCTAAGGTAAAATATTAGCATTAAAAATATTTTTAAGTATACTTTGAATATGAATAACAGATCATTTAATTATCTTTTGATAACTTCTAATAGGGCAGTAGAGAAGATTTAACGCTTCAGCTTTGCAGAAAAAGCAGGCACATAAACTTTCCACAGACTGGTACTGTGATTATAATTCTGAATCTTCACTCACCAGTTTTGTTGGTGGTAGACTACTTTATGATGGAAGAACGGATGTTCTGGAAACTTTTCTCTTCTAAATTTAGAATTTGTCTCTGCACAGAGCCACAGACTCTTGAAATACTGACTCATTAGGCAGATTTATGTTTAAAAGTGACCTGTGGAGGGGAATACATCTGCCTGGGTGTTCTTCACAAGTTTTCTTATAGAGGGAAAAGTATTTTCCTCCTTCAGTTTTTTAAGGGCTTTATTTGAACCCATTATTTAAAAGGTTAAGTCTTGTCTGCCCTAGGAGATACCTTAATTTGGGGAGCTATTGGAAAAAAAAATCAAGAAAGTAAAAGCAAGCTGTTGGGAGAATGCTCTCCTTATATTTACAATTAACTGGGTTTTGCTATCCTTATATTAATAATTTAGTGGGTGTTTTATGGACTAGAATATAATTTCATTGGCTAAGATGAGTTAGCAGTTTTCTTTGTCAAAGATTGTAGATGTCTCCCTTCTGATAAGGTGCTAACACCCACAGTGTGTAGCTCTCCAAGACATCCAAAACCAGCCAGCAAAACTGGGGAAGAGCAGGATTACATTCTTGCTTTGTAGATATTTTGGAGCTCGTGGAGGATATCAGGGGTGTCAGGAAGACCAAAGGGTTTTTCTGTGCATCGTGGTCGATGAAGCATTTCTTTGAAATGCTTCTCAAATACATAGAGACAACAGCAGCAGCTGAAGTTGGAGGATCTCATCTACTGCAGTATCTTGTTTCCAGGAGTGGCCAATAACAGATGCTTACATTAACTTTCACTTTTTTATTAAGGTCATAATGACAGTATAATTCAAGAAAAAAACCAAAGTTGTCTTCATGTGTGCTAACATAACCTATAATAAGTATTTAACTGATACATTTTTAAGTTCCTCATTTTTTCCTTAATGTAGGCAAGCTTGCTACTGACTTAAAGCAAAAAGTTTGAAATAGTCATCTCATCTTAAAGTGTTGATGTTACCTATTAATTTTTTCATATTACTGTTAGGTATCGTTTGGGAGCTCACAAATGCATTGAGTGTTACTCGGAAATAAAAGATTTTGCAAGCCATTTTCCTGCTTATGTGCACTGTAGCTTATGCAGATACAACACTAGCTGTAGCAAAGCCTATGTGAATCACATGATGAGGTAAGAACGCTTAAAAAATTTTATTGCGTTATCAAATATTTCCTAAATTTATATAAGGTGTGTTAAGTGTTTCTGTTAGCTGAATTTTGAACTGGGTTGTAGGACTGGCAGGGAAATGTGTAAGGTTGGATTTTTACTTTGTAATGAGGGCCTAAACTCCATGTTCTTGTTTTGCCTTAAAAATCCAGTGGTTCAGGCAGTGTTCTGTCTTTGTTTCAGAGTTGCTATGGGATCTTTCCTAATAATTTCAGCCAGACTTAACAAATAATGATCAAGTTGCATGTTCTCTGGGTTTCAGATTTGAATACCTCATCTGATTTTCCAATTGCTGAATGCATACAGCCACAGCTATTGCTAGCGAAACTTGTTCTCGGAATACCATGTAAAGAATATCCCAAATGGCATGCTCAAGTGGCTACTTTTTCTTATGCTACTTCTGGTCATCCATAAAAATAACATCTCATTTTGCAGGAGGTTTGCCGCTGATTGTGAGGCAGTGTAGGGTATTAATGATGCAACCAAAAAACCTGTTAAGAAAACAAATGCATTAGTTTCCAGAGCAATAGAATTATACTATGCAATAATTAGACAGAGATCACGAAGCAGTGATGGTAAAACAAAATTAAGGGTAATCCTGTGCCCTGAATAAGCCAAATGTATTGCGGAAAAATACAGAAAGCAGTTTTCTTTTTAAATACATGTATGCATAAAATGCCTTGGCATTTTTGAATGCTAGAATTCTTGAATTTATGACCCAAGTCTTTAAAAGTTTTTGTATATATTTTATATGTTGGCCTATTCATATTAATTTCAATGTTCAGGTAAGTCCTAGGCTGAAATAGTTTACATGCTTTTATGCATATCATCTATTGGCTGCATGCTTAAAAAAATAATAAAAATTAATATGCTTGACTCTCATTGTACAAGAGAAAGTTTACTCCAGAAGGGGAGAGGGGAATCTAAGGTAAACTGTTCCTACTGTTGCCCATGTTCTGGGTGTTGTCAAATTTACCAATGCAGTAAAATAGCCAGTCTTTTGTTCCTTGTCTCCTTGATGCACTAATGCTCCCCCTACTTTGACCCCTTGCAGCACCTATCATCGCCTTTCTTGGTGAGCGTAAGGAACAAGGGATGGTGAGGAGGGAGGGTGTTTCTGCAGTAGCAGCCCCTGTACTCAGCTGCTCGCTTTTTGTTTCATATGGGAGTACAGTGTTGGCGCATACTTAACCTGCATATAAGATAACTTACAGGTTGTCTGAAAATGTGATTTATCTCATTTAAAGCCATCTCTGTAGGAAGCATGAGTTCAGCAAAGCTTCACTTCTTTTGTGGAGTGCTGTATAGCCACAACCATGGAGCTAAACTGCTCTTGAAGCAGTGTAACTATGTTCTTGCAGTACTGTGCTGACAAAGTTAAGCCTTGCCTCTCCCAAACTCACTACTTACAAGAGAGCCAGTATTTTAAACTACAGCTGAGATTCACAAGCCTGTAAGCTTTCAGCAATTTAATGTTTTAGAATAATACCAGTCAGTAATTGAGCCTTCTATTTTCATGCCTTGTCATAAGCAAATTGCAGTACTATGTACAGTGTAGGGCAT